CAATCAACACTCAGAAACAATCAAACACTCAGAAACAATCAAACACTCAAAAACAGGGTATAGAGCCTGTCACAGTGTGCCCAGGCAGGGAGAATGGCTGAGGGAAGGACTGAGTTCTGTAGCAACACACAGCCACTGTAAATGTTTGATCACACACTGGCTTCTCCTTGTGTCCTTCCTTCGAATAATCCTTTATCTGCCTGTCCAAATGAGCTTTTATCTATTGTGGTACAGAAGCACTATGTAGGTACAGTCCATTTACCACTGTACACATCCTAAGTAGCAGTAGTTTGGCACTATACGCACTACATCACAGTTTAGCGGTCTCAAGTACGGAGGTTCATGAGACGTATATCGTTGAACCCATGAGGCCCAGAGCAGTAATATTTTTCCTAATATCAAGATGTCATATGGAGTTACTCTGTATTAAGGAGTAATGATGTATTCCAGTATACTTTAGTGATGATCTGACTCGTCTTTTTCAATGAAAATTATGGTCTGGTTGTCTTCCATATTCTATTGACTTTACAGTGTCCTCTGTTGTATTCATCCTAGTTGTTTTATTCAAAGCAGACAGCATCTCTTTATACTAATTATATTCTACTACTTTTTCTGGTATTGAAGCAAAACCTAGTACACCTATTCAAAGATTAACAATCAAACACTTGGAGCAAAGAGTTTGTTTGGAGCTTAACGGGCATAAGTGTGACCAAAATCTTATTTTTAGGCATTTTCTTCTGTTTTCTGTAAGTAGATTAATGTGTGTTGGCAGGTGACCTACACTCAGCACTGATTAGACACGGCGTTTCAGTGAATGCTACGTGGAAGAGGAGCTCTCATACATTCTCTGGTAAGTGCTGAGAGTCACGTGGGTGGAGTGGTCCACTCCTGCTGGGGTGCTGGCCTGATGGATGGTTCCTCTGGGAAAGTACAGAAGGTCTCCTGCCTGAGGAGGGAGGAGATGATCTCACTCATACAGAAAACACATTACATATGCTGAACAGCTTTGTGTATTAATATATATAGTTGAGGTGCTGTACCTTCAGCATAATGTCATGGGTCGGGCTGCCGATCCTCTCCTCTGACTCCACGCTGTACTCCGCCGCCAGAGGAACAGTGGGAGTGTAGAGGAGCCAACGTTTCTGCCCCTCCAGCTGCAGGACAAACACCTGGGCAAAGGGCACCACATCAGCATGATAAGTACAGTATCAACTGCTGCACAACCAGCCCAAAACATGTTTTAATTTCTCTCTACCGGCTCTTTGTTACTGCCGGCATAAGAAGAACTTCATGCACCTGCAGCGTTGTGGCATTGAGTCGGGCGGACTCTTAGGCAGCTATTATTACGAGCTACTTTGTAAAAGAAGATTTTAAAACCTATAATGAGCATTTCAAAGTACATCAACCCACCAAAAGCATGTTGTGTATTGTGAAAAATAAGATCAGCTCCACTTTGACCAGATACATCTAAATAAGTATCATTGACAGGAACTTTCACTTTTGTACATTAAGCTGAAATTGCTTGTGTAATTGATTTTACTAGATTTTGCAGACGTGAACTTATATTTTTACACTCTGACGTTACTCAATCTTCATTTACTCTTAACCAGTAAAATATATACTGATATTTACACATCTGAACAAATCTCACAAGTGTTCCCTTCATTATTACACCAACGTTATGTAAATAGACCTTGTGGTTGCAGAGATATACTCTTTTTTTATTATGGGTATGCAATTTTCGAGCAGAGGCCTAAAAAATAGGTGTGTTTTTAAAAGGTTTTAAGAAAGCTTGTGACTCCCTCTTAGTGATTTATGAGTGTAGTCATCGACATTTTGTGGAATATGGGTGTGTTATAAATATGAAGAGGCTTTGGCTGTTGAAAGAGTGCAGTCGTGGGTTGGGTGTCGTACCTCGATATCGTCGTAGTGAGGTGGAAGGCCCTGGGACTCCTGTGGTGTGATGTAGACGTTAGAGCCCACCAAGCCTCCGAAGAAACACTCCAGCTTCTCCTGGATCCTCCACAGCTCATCCTGACCACACACAGGGAAAACTCCATGAGAGAATTATTATATAATATATATATATAATATGCTACAATACTGCTGAAAGTCATGATTTCAACACTGTATCAAAACATTTTTGAACGATACCATCGGTCACAAAAAAGTAATCTCAATCAGAAGCCCACATTGAGTTGCTGCTGCTGCTGTTGTTGCTTTAATCGATCTGAAATTGTGAAACAAGAAATCCAGAGTGGTATCTGAGAACAGCAGCTCCTCTCTCACCTTGAACCTCTGCGGCTGGTGGAACTGGATGGTGGCCTTGTTCTGAACGAAGTTCTTATTGATAACACTGCTCTTAACTCGGCCCGGCTTGTTGAACACTTTTTTCTTGCCATTGACGCAGCGCACGACGTTGACGTCCCTGTAGTATTCCAGATCCTCGGAGCACAGGCTCGGCAGGTCGGACAGCTGGAACAAAGACTGGTAGTAGGAGGCCGTGTCGGGGTCGGACCTCTGTAGGTGGAGGGGTTTCTTTTCCCAGTACTCGCTGAAGAACTGCTCCGTCCCCATGGGCTGGATGAGGCTCTCGAATAGGCGAACCGGGCTGTTGAAGCACAGGGGGGATTGGGTGTCCATGCGGTTTACCTTGCTCTGTTTGGGCGGGAGCTGCTCGTCGTCGATGCTCCGTCTCTTTGCAGTCTTTGCTTTGCTTTTGTTTGGCATTTTAATCTGAAAAATGAAACAAAATGCTGAGAATATCATCTGAACCGAAATCAGGCTGAATCTCGGCGGTACTGGAGAAACCATTGTACGGCTATTTCTGCTACGAACGGGTCACAACGTATCAGGTTTGGTGCATTCCTTATAATAAGGCTAGCACAGTAAGCTAATCAATAAGGCTAGGCTAGCACAGTAACTAATCAATAAGGCTAGCACAGTAACTAATCAATAAGGCTAGCACAGTAAGCTAATCAATAAGGCTAGTACAGTAACCAATCAATAAGTCTAGCACAGTAAGCTAATTAATAAGGCTAGCACAGTAACTAATCAATAAGGCTAGCACAGTAACTAATCAATAAGGCTAGCACAGTAACCAATCAATAAGGCTAGCACATCAACTAATCAATTAAGCTAATCAATAAGGCTAGCACAGTAACCAATCAATAAGACTAGCACAGTAACTAATCAATAAGACTAGCACATCAACTAATCAATTAAGCTAATCAATAAGGCTAGCACAGTAACTAATCAATAAGGCTAGCACAGTAAGCTAATCATTAAGGCTAGCACAGTAACTAATAAATAAGGCTAGCACAGTAAGCTAATCAATAAGGCTAGCACAGTAAGCTAATCAATAAGGCTAGCACTAGCTGAGTCAAAGTTAGCTCTGCTACGTTTATAAGTTAAAGGGTTACTTCACATGTTTTTAAACGAGGTTGTGTGTATGTGCACTTCTATGTTCTGCCACTTGTCAATGGAGTCTGGTGCTTTTGAAGAGAGGATACAACAACACTGCACCAACAGTCTCGTCCCCATTAACATGGCAACTTAGGGTCGTTATAAAATAAAGAAGTTTAACAAAACTCCCCTGACACCTTTACATAGGCTTTAGGATCAAATGTTTGGGTCACTTTAGTTTCATAGTGTAACACTCATTTATGCAACATTCACCTTGGCTGATAACACTGTAAAATCGTCTCTACCAACATAATGCCCGGTGTCAAACGGTGTTATCAGCAGCGACATTCCGTTGGGACTACTTTAGCTTGTGTATGAGATGCTTGTGACATTCCTGTGTCTGCATGTAAAAACTCACACCAACGGTCTACTCAGTAGAAGTGTCTGAAATGTGTTTGCGATATTAATAAGATTATGAAGCAAGCCTCTGGATCTCTGTTAGTGGCGGTGTTTCCCTTCTAATGAGTGAACACAGATGTCGGACCGTGTAGCTTCGATCAGCAGCTCTCGGCACATGAAGCACAGTGATCATATATAGGCTAATATGCAATATTAAATATGTTTGTGTTCGCGTTTAAAGACTCAACTGTCTCACCTCTTCAACAGCAGCTGAGACGTGATGAGCCCCCACGTGAACCGAGTGATGTGTTCCGCTAAATATGTCCGACTAGAAACTCGGTACCGTCATAGAATCTGTGGATCACCATGTGGCCGCTGGGGGGCGCTGTTAAGCGCAAGTCCCTTTATTTAGGTTTTTGTTCCATTTACAAGTTCAGCGGTGTCTATTTAAAGTGTTTCTAAAGTGTTTCAGCGTTTAAAGAACACAAACGCTAAGAAGGTCACACTTCATGCAGTATTTTTATTTTTTTTAATTCCCAAAAATGTTGTGACAGTTTCTGTCAAAGGTCACCAAAATTGTGGCCAGCTGTTCCAGGGAGCTAAACAAAAAATATGATTGTAAATATAGTTTTATAACAGTGCACATTTCCAGAGAGTGTCTCCTGGAAGGCATTCATAGTGTTGCACTCAGTTGTTCACATGAAAAGTGACTCAAATAGTTGTAAAAAGATGAAAAGAAGATCTACACTGTCCGTCTGTCCATCCATCTATCCATGATCTTTAGTAAACACTAAAATATATATTAATACTATTAATTATTGACATGAACTAAATTTAATTAGTTATATAAATTGAAATAGAACAAAATAAAATGACCAAAACTTGACCAAAACTAAATGTGATTAAATTTAAAAACAAATAAAATTAAAAGTAATAAAATCAAATTATAAAATTAAAAATAAATTACAATTAAATTAAATCAAATGACCAAAATTTGACTGAAACTAAATTAAATTTAAAAAAACATATAAAATATAATAAAATAAAATAAAAATTATTACTGATTCAATTACATTTTAAAATTAAATTGAATTTATAAAAATAAAATAGAGCTAAATTAAATTAAATCAGCTAAACTTGACCAAAATAAAATAAAGTTTATTTGTTACATAAATTTAAATAGATTTAAATACAGTCAAATAAAAACATATTGTAAAATACTCCAGGCCATCCACCATTCAGACATTCTCAATAACACATTCAACAACACATATCTACAGGGCATGATGAGAAAGGTTGATCAAACCCTCTTCAATGACATAACGAGGCAAAACGTTACACACAGCACCAACACATGGATGCACACAAACATGTTCATTCTTAGGGAACACTATGACACAGTGGTTGCTGTGGGGCTGTGGACCCCTGGTTTAAATATGAAATTGCATTTGATTAGACGGTCCAGTGGGGGAAAGCGAGAAATGGGAGAAAACTCACCTCCTAACCCTAACCCACTGCGGGGCATTACAACCAAGGACCCGAAGACAGAGGAGCCCCCCCCCTTCACGCACACATGGAGCACACACACTCACTCAGCAGTGTTGCTCTCCCATCATGTACAGTAGTAACACCATTTCATCCTCTCCATCTACAGATACACACCACACCAACACCAAAGGGAGCCAGAGCTGTGTGCTGTTGAGCCCGGTGACACAAAAGCAACCACAGAGGTTGATAACAACATGATGATGGAGGGAGAAAGTGAAGAGCAACGAGCTGACTTCACCCCTAACTGCTGGAGTTTGATTTATCCACCCTTAAACTCCAGCAGGGGCTCAGCGGCACCACCTGGCTCCCACACAGACACCCACGCAAATTTTGAAAATTGCAGGACTGGTCGCTGGATGTACGGAAGACGACCCTGATCCTCGGGGACTCGATTCTCTCCCGTATCCTAACATTCAGACACCCACACATACAGATAGAGTTGCCCCGGTGCCACCTTCCATCACAACAACGCAACACTCAAGAAACTCCCTCCCTGTCAAGAACCACAACACATTATACTTTCAGTAGGACTCAACAACTGCCTTTCAGAACATGAACCTGTCACCATTTTCAAACAAGTACAACAGTTGAGTCACTTTCCCCAACGCCACCGTTTACATTCTGCTCTTAAACTTAAACTCTTGAACTGAACCAGAGGATTCAAGCCTTACTCACTTAACTCAACACCACCATTTCTGCCAAATATATTTTGTTACCAGAGATGAACCCACTTATTTTCAGGTCGACCACCAGGCCGTGGAGATCTGGAGAGTTCTTTTAATACAATAGACACTCCCGCTGCCTTGCCTGCGCCTGCTATTATGTTCTGTTTCACCTTTTGAAGTTGTGGAGGGATTTATTTAGTGATTTAAGGCTGATGAGGAGAGGAGGAGGTTATTGGTGACTTTGATCAGGACAGTTTCTGTGATGAGATCTGAATCCAGATTGAAACGGTGCATACAGTTGGTTCGAGTCGAGGTGGAATTTTAGTTGGTGGGCGAGTGCGTTCCAGTGTTTTATACCCTGGAGATGATGTTTCATGACTCTTTATCTTAACTATTTAGAATTGTTTTAATTACTTTCTACACATTCCCTTTTAGACACTGAGTTGATTGGTCCATAGACATTACAAACAGATGTATAAAAATGTACTCTTTTATTGCACTTTGACTAACCCTTGTGTGTTTTATATGATTATTCATCCTTTTATTACACTTATTTAACCCACCCTTTTATAAAAAAAAGCATTTATTCTAAAAGTTTTAACAATTACCATTGCATAAATATGTTTTAATATTGTTGTCTCCAATTCCAACTATATTTAATTCCTCTTTAGTTTATTTTAGACAGTCCTTACAACATACCTCATTTTTTATGTTTTTTTAATACAATTGACTCTCCCGCTGCCTCACCAACGCCTGCTCCTATGTTCTTTTAAACCTTTTAATTGTTTTAATTATTTAAATTATTATTATTATTATTTAATTGTTTTAATCTTTTAATTTCTTGTACTTTTATATGGGGATTTTAACTATTTATAATGGTTTAAGAAGGAATCTCTGAGACTATTTTTGACAGATGATCCCTGTGTGCCACGTTTGAACCCTAACCCAACCCTAGCCCCTCAAAAACAAGTGGAGCTAACTCAAAACAGAGTAGACAAATGTCTTAATATTTGTAACTCAAAAATACAGTCAGGTCACAGAGTACTTGACACATCACTGAGTCAGTCTGCCTTTGCCTGATGAAGGAGAAAACCTCTCTAAAACATGCATAAGATATTACAGTGTCTGGAATGGAGTCATCGCTTTGTGTGGATGGATTATTGTGCGCTTGTGTTTCGGGAGACTTCAAAGTCCGATAATCGGAAAAGGGGAAGACACATGTTGGATACAAGGCAGGGTCGTGATGGGTGGTGGCTGTTTCATTCCCAGGTTCAGACTCAGTTTCACAGACAGTGCATGATTCTGACGCCGTGAGTTCAATCCCCTAACCCCTTAAATACCATTTGACAGCATTTTCCCAATGGTAACTTAAAGAAAAGATGACTTCTCTCATTCTCTGTCTCTCTCAGTAGCAGCCTTCATCAGCTTCCACTCAGATGTGTGTTTGGCCTGTAGTGGGTCCAGCCCAGCCCTGCAGGCCACACACAGCAGTACATAAGCACCTTGCTCAATCCGTGCCTTGAAGAATGAATGGTCATCCATCTTTGAGCGAATCTGTGTCTGCACACTCTGTATGTGTGTGTGGTACTCTGTATGTGTGTGTGGTACTCTGTATGTGTGTGTGGTACTCTTTGGGTGTGGGGTTAACAAGTTTGACAGTCTTTTTTTTTCTTCTCATTACATGACAGCCCCATCAAAGATTAACAGAGAGAGAGAAAACATGAAGCACTAATGGAGGCACGCAGTGTACTTGTACATGGAAAAGTTACATCTGTCATCACTAATGCTGCCACTGGGTAACCGCACACACACTGAACTTTGGACTGAAGTAACATGCACTTTACCTCTCCGGTGTCCTGTCCATCAACTGCTGACAGATGGTGAAACAGGAGAAAGAGCGCTGATGTGTACACAAAGTAGATACGATAGGGTTAAATGTTTAAAATCTGGTTATTTATTAATTTCCCTGTTTGAATTACTGTCAAAAACATGATCATGTGAAGTTAAACATTTATATCAAGGCAACACTGGCCCTAAAAACAAAATAGAAGAAGACATCGGTAATGTCCCAATGCACAGAGGTGTCATTATTAATATAATATCACAGCTTGTTGTACACAACAATGAATCAACCTGGAGATTTTAATAGAAATAAAAATAGTAGTGTCCCTTAACACGTTTCTCCTGCTTTCTGCAGATGGTGCAGTGTGATAGGACTGGGCGGAGGACAGTAGTATGACTATCAATATGTGTTGGAGAAGTGGGCTTCCCAGCATATCAATGTGCTAGAGGTACAGGGGGTTTCTCTTCTTGGACATTTTGAGTTTATTTGTCGATCTTTTGCAACTCAATCACTTGTTGGAAAAGTGCTTTACGGCTGTTGCCTCTCCTGTCCTGTCCACCTGTTGTGATGGTTTTAATGTCACAACAGGTGGACACACATGTGAACCACGGATTAATGACACAGTTTACCTTCACCATCACAGTATGAAATACAATTTAACTGACAAAGTTAAACTCTGATATGGAGAAACTGCTGTCTAGCGGCAGGATGCCGTCATCTCGCGGTTCACAAAATGGCCATGCATTTTTGGGAGATGTAGTTCATGGTCACTGTACACTGTAAAGCAGCATAGACTTTCATTTTAAGACAATCATTATGCCTTTTATATGGAAGCCCATTTCCGGCAGCAAAAAAAAAAATTACAAAAAAAGATGAAAAGTTAGACTTGATAATAAAAATATCCCCATGGCCCTGTTGGTGCATCCATCTGTAACCATGACACTGACCAGATGTTTCCAGTTGCTGTTCAATGAAGGTGGCCACCTCAGCCACATCGTTTCTATTCTTTCTACGCCAGAGCTGCTTCTAGTTTAAAATCCTTTCAAGGGTGCGTTTCCTCAGTACAATCTGTGAAGTATTTCATGTGTTGTAAAGCGACGTTTAAAGTAGTCTTCAATGTACTCACAATACATTTCTATGTCAAAGAGTAACCAACCAAAGAGCTGCTTCTATGAATGTTGTGTTAAAGTACCTTATAGTTTCGACTCAAGTCAAAATTATGATATTAAAAGTCATTATGACTTTCTATCTCGTAATTATGACTTTCTATCTCGTAATTATGACTTTCTATCGCATCACTTCGACTATGGGGATATTTTTATTATGTGTTATTTCCTGTACTTCTTCATCTCATTTTCTATAGTTGAGTAACTTTTTAGAAGAGGCACTTTTAACTAGTGACCGATGGATAGAACAGGGGAAATCACCACAGCTTCCTGTTTCTTTCAGTGCAAAACTTTATTTTGATCAAATTAAACATAAAATACATCATTTACAGTTTCACACCTCCAAAGTGACATGACAAAACAGTGAAGCTGGACAGTTTTTTTTTTTTCCCTTCAAGAATATCATTGATATCATTGTGTCCTATACATAATATTTGGTAGAAAAAGAATGAATCATACGAAAAAGAAAAATACGTGGACATTTCATCTTGAAGCCTTTAGAGCAGACCACGGTCACAAAACACTGGAACAGACGGCTGCTCTCACTGAAACAGACAAAACACACAATACCAACTCCTCTTATTATTTCAGGATAACAAAATGTCTGAATCAATAAATGACCCTGATTTTGTAGTTGTCTCCCTCACTTTCAATATGTTATAATGAACATAGCACTGAGGTTACCTGTTGTGATTTTGACCTTTTGCTTCAGTTATCACTGTGACATCAAAGCAAATGCTGAATAGTCTGCCTCGCAGCGTCAGGTAATTACAACATTTAACAACAAAACCTCAAAGGGTGGGCTGAATCAAACTGAGCACAGAAAGATGAAGTTAGCAGTCATTGAAAGACATTCAAGCAGCAATGCTGGCTGTGAAGGAGGGCTGCCACTTTTTCAATGGTCAGGTTTGAACAAATGAGCCCCAACACACAATTCATATGAATGCAACCCACAGAACCAAAGCCTAAGCTAACGGTACGTAACAGTGACGTTCTGCCTCCGTTTCCTCCACAAGCAAACACCTGACTTTGGATTTGTTGTTGTCATAATGTTGTTATAATTTTGTGTTGAACCTGCCTTTATTGCTTTTGTGGCCTCTTGGGAGAATGGCATGTACTATTTGATCCATTATAAAAATATGTATTTGTGCAGCTACCAAAACTATAATCGGCCTTATAACGGCTTGATGTGCTAAAACATTTTAAATTTTGAGTTTGCTAAGTTTATTCACACTCAAACTGTAATCTGAATTTAGGACATAAAGTGACAGCTCGACTGTGAAGGCGGGGCTTACTCCTTATACGTTTGTATATAAAGCATACACTCAATGAAAAGGCGTTCTCTAACATTGTATAATATCTGAAGTTGTACTTTGTTGTAGAACAATGACTGCGGTGAAATTAAAGATTGATATAACAGTATACTTCCAATATGATTCAGTTCAACCACATTTCTGACAGAATATACACTTAATCATGAAGCTAAAAAATGAAACATTACGCCATAAGCATCTGTATTCTTTTTGTTTACGGCACAAAAAAAAAATCAAACCTGCGTTAACAGGAAAACACGTGAGTGAAAGAGGACAACTCATGGAACTAAATGCACTGTGTTCTGAAAAAGGCGAAGGTCTCTCAGGACAGCTCCTCTGAAATGCTCCTTTTGTACAACACGGGGAAAAAAGACAAAATGTTTCAAAAAAAAAGTAGCTCCCTCCAGTCTCTGCCAACCTACCGGCATCCACAGCTCAGCCTGAAGGGCAGCAGAAGGGCACTTAAGAAGATACAAACTTCACTTCATATTTACAGCGGTGCATGTGGTCAAATCCTGAAATAACTGCTCTGGTTTTTTTTATGACTGACCCAGTTCCCAACACTTCAGTTTGCCTTAGATGACACACGTAAAGCAGCATGAAAGGCTCTGCAAAATGGGTATTTGGTTACCCAAGACAGATTCAAACCAAAGCAATATCTTCGTATTTTAAGTCCAATTCTCAATTCAAAATACAAAAATTTTGATTCGAAACCAACAATAATTGGGCTGATTCATTTACATTTCTACATCTGTTACTTCCAGTTGACAAAATGAAATGTCCCCTTTTGAAAATGACTTGGTACACACATGTTTGGCTCCATGTGCAATGAAGACAGGTCAAGGGTCAGGTAGCTTCATCACGTGGATTGTGTGCCATCTGTATTTTTAAAAGTTCTACAATTTCCTTAAAGCTCATCAGTAATGTTCCCAATCTCTAATATAGAGTCTGTGGTAGTTAGAGGTTGCCGTCTTTGGCCCTGCGTTGGTCAACATCTTTCCTGCAGCTGACTTTGTTAAGAGAAGTCACAGTCCTCAGCACCGTACAGGTCCGCTAGTCTCCTGAACCTGGGTCCCCAGTCACTCAGGTAGTGGTAGTCCTGCTCAGCCTCGGACGACACTGAGCCCAGTGAGCTCAGGGACTCCGCCACGGAGCCTGCGCCCTCGTAGGCGTAGGTGGCCAGCGAGTCGTACGGCGGCGCTGTCGGGTTACAGTCGTTCTCCAGCACTTTCTGATTTATAAACTCGCGGACATCCCCGTTATCCCGTGATGCCATGCCGACTGGTGGTGGGATGAGGTCGGACGAGGCGGGGGCCGGTCGGTGGTGTGGTGAATACAGCAGGGCGTCAGTGGGGATGATGTCCCGCCTCTGCTTGGCCGACTCCTCTAAAGTGGCGACAGTGTCCGGGTGTCGCAGTGCTCCGATGTCGAACGCCTGGGTGTCCTCCTCTCCGCCGCCCTCGTCATTGTAGCTCACCACGTTGTCCCGCACGTCCTCCTTGGAGATGATGAGAGGCTCCTGCTTTCTCTGTCGTTTCAAAGCTGTGAATAGAACCATGATCACTGCAGGAGACAACAGCACAAAGATATGGGGTTAGACATGTTACAGAGAATAAATCAAAGGATCATTTCAGTTCATTTCAAGGGTCTCATTTTGGTAGCTTTGTTTTTATTGCTTATGAGAACAATACTACTGAAGCCAGAGCATTCAGCGACCAAGCTCCTCGTCTGTGAAACCAGCTTCCAGTTTCCGGGGCAGACACACTCACCATATTTAAGAGTCGGCTTAAGACTATTAACTTTGATAACGCTGATAGTTAGGGCTGACTCAGGTTTCCCTTGGACCAGCCCCTAGATATGCTGCTATAGGCCTAGACTGCTGGAGGACTTCCTATGAAGCACTGAGCTCCTTTTCTCCTCTTCCTCTTCTCCATCTATATTTATGTCCCATTAATGCACATTACTAACTTAGCTTCCTCCCAGGAGTCTTCATGCTTTCTTGCCTCGCAGGTTTTCAGGGATCGTGGTGTAGGGACTTCACCATGTGTTGAAACAAATGAATTGGGCCGACATGGGCGTACAAACAGCCTGATTTGGGTGGAAATCACACCAAACCCCACTAGACGTTAAATCTCACCTCTGTGTGAGATTTGATCCAAACCCAACACTGGGGTCTCATTGGATGAGGGCCATAGGCACCACGGGGATCCCTGTGATTCGGCCATGACGTCACTGAGACTATAAACATCATCGCTAACTACAGCCCTGATCCATACCACGCAATTGGATTCGTATGTATGGGGACGCAAACAACGCTGATGCTTTTAAGAAAACCCTGGGAATAGTTCGTCATTCGCTGGTCCAACAACAGACTCTTTTGGATCCCGAAGGAGGAGCGGAAAACCTGCCCTGTACTCCTCCAACTTTAACCTGCAGAAGGAAGATTCACAGAATCTATAGAGGAAGAGAAGGATAACTTTGACATTCAAAGAAACACACCGATCTCAAAGTAAGAGGTGTTTGTCTGGGCAGAGATAGGCCTTAGTGTGTTTTTAACTTTGTTTTAAGTGTAACTGTAGTGTTAACGTGTTATTATGTATTTTTACGGACCGCTGAGTTCTGCTAGTGCTGTGTACAATCACTTGGCTAACCTGGGGATCTGTGTGTAATCAGTCTGATCCGGGGACTGCTCTGGTTTCTTGAATCATCTGATTTCCTTTTAGAGATGTTGCAAGATCCCCAGATCCAGCAGTTAGCTTGGTGAGTACTATCTTATGCGTGCAGATAGGGCTGCACAGGCTGCTTACAGGCACACAGCCTTTGATTTCAGAGAGGGCTCAGCCATAAATCATCATGCAGAACATTTGATTGGCTAAGCTCATGCAGGCCAGTTTGAATTTAAATCAAGTCAGAGCACAGTGGCAACAAGAAAGAGCAGAGGCGGAGTTGAGGTCAGGGAAGCGAAATAACAGATAGCGCATACACAGGAGCACTTGAAATCACACCATGAAATGTCTGCGAAAGAGCAGGAGAGCGTGAGTTGTGATATGAAGGAGAGGATATCAGATATTGACAGAAAGAGTTCAGGTAGATATAGAAATACAGGAGAAAGAACTGTAGAGATGAAGTGGGCAGTTACTGTGCAGTATGACCAGAGGCAGAGAACAACACCAAAAGGATTTGATGATGACTACATTCATATGCATATCAGTACGACTGAAATACTACAGTTCATGGCTTTCCTTTGATTACCATGTGAGATATAATCCAGACTGAGGACTACCGTCTTCATTTCTCCTTTCTATATAAATAGATTTCCTACATTTGTACGAGTTACATTGACATGCGTTATCATAATTTAATGATTTTAATAATGTATTTTGTTTTTGGTGAGAACATTAGTTGAACATTTGATGTATTGTTGAGGACAGTTACAAGCACACTAGGATTTAATAAGATGAGTATGATGCGGACCTGACTGCACTCTTTATTCATACATGCATGTATATATATACATATATATACACACATACATATATATATACATATACTGTACATACATAAATAGGTCCAACACTTGGTAAATGTGCATCTACATATTCGCTCATCAACCTGTATGTCATGGCAGTATCTGCATCACTGTGTAATGAACTGGTCACGTGACACGTCTCTCGCCCATGTGCACGTGCTGCCTCACTCCCTCGCCTCTCTTTGCAGTTTTCATGATTGCAGTTGCTGTGGCTGCTTTGACATACTTTGGTGTTCACATTCTAAAATTGCTGTAAAACGTTGTTACAAAAAGCAATAACTGTAAGATCTAAGTACTCCAGGCCATTCAAACGAATGTGTCACAGCATTGAGTATGACATCATTACATAGACTTTCTCTCAGTGCCCATAACTCTGAATAACTTCTAGCGTCCCTGGTGTGTGTCCACTAAGTCTGCAATGACTGCACTTTCAGAAGCATACAAATATGTATTCATCTTCTCAGCAGTGCGCTGGACTGTGACCACCGCATGAATAAGAGGATAAGTGAGCTTGTGGTGGCAGATGAGATGCATTCATTTCCATGTGAGCTTTCCTTCTGATCAGCAACAGCAGACTGGAGCTCTGAACCAACACTGTTTCCCATTACAGCACAACGGCTGCTTGTGTTTGCAGTTGTGTACTAATGGAACCACTGCAGTGAGCAGACAGTGTGTGATCATACATGCTACATGTTGTGTGCACCCACATTTCACTTTGTTTCTGTCACAATAGATTTCCCGCTATTTAAAACAAAATGCTATGGTTCCTTATATATATTTCACATTATATTTCTATTAGTGCTGGGCAATTATCACGTCAACGCATTAATTAATTAACGTCGACAATTATTTTATCGCGCGTTAACGCAGTTTTCTTTTTATTATTAAGCGGACATTTTTAACACAAAAACCGACCGGCTGGCAGCGAGCGGTGAACAGCTGTTTGTGTGGCGTCTCTTCCTGTTTTCTTCACCTACATTCCCCTGGGTCCTAAGTCCCTCCATGTACAGCTTCTTATCACCCTCTATGTACCAACGTACATTTATAACAAATACCACACATATTACACAGTAATCAGCGTTGCACATGTGTCTGACCAAAATACCAAAAAAAGCAAAAAATAAATGATTCATTGAAATTATTTTTTTTAGAGTTTTTAAAGTGTTTTTGTTTGGAATATGTATAATAAGCATACAATTTAGTTATCGCTACTGAGAATTTAACAAACATTAAAAACATGACGTAGATAGTTTTGCAGTTTTCAAGGTGTATATTTCAGATTGCATCTATTACACATGAAGATAAAGTTGTGAACACCGGCTATCTATTATCAGAATCATTATAACTGTATTTTAACTGCTACTTTGTAAAGGGAATACTGCTGTTAAAAAGCACCTTATTTATTTAATGTGTTTGCAAACCAAATGTTATTGCACTTTTGTTCATATAGCAGTACTTTTAAAATAAAAGTGCGCAATACACTACTTTTGAATTCATTATTGAACTTTGCGCAGAACAATGCGATTAATCGCGATTAAAATTTGTAATCGTTGCCCAGCACTAGTTTCTATATTTCAATGTGTTCATTAATGGTCCTTTTTTTTTAAAGCAGCTCTTTTGGCCTCATCTACGTATTCTTTTTATTGAAAGCGCTGTAAAGAAACATGGCTTAGGCTTGATTTTCTTATCTTCTCCTGGTCTATGTGGATTAGTGGTGGATGTAAACAGCAATGCTCAGGGGGGGGGGTTCAAGTGTGTTTTATTTTTTCATTTTTTATTGAATAAATCATTTATATGATCCAATTAGTATTTTGCAATGTCTTCATGTTTTTGCACAAGCTATTTAAAAAAAGTGTTATTATATTACATTACTACGTGTTTCTGTCATTTACTAAAACATTAAGGCCCTTTGAGTGTACATACCAACTTTGGTTTCATTTTTCTTAAAAATACTAACTGCATTGTTTCCCATAAATATGTTCATTCAATGTAACATATTGTCATTGACATACTAACACATCACTACTGCTACTCCCTGTAGAGTACGTGTTGTTACACACTGTATTGTGTCATACTCACTCAGCAGTATGATGGCACACAGGAGGATGGCGATAAGAGCTCCAGTGCTGAGACCAGGAGAGCTGCTCAGAGCCTCTGCATTGCACAGTTCCATGTTGCCGTCCCGGTCGCAGGTGCACACCCTCACAGTGAGAGTGCCGGTACTGCTCTGCATTGGGTAGTCGCTGTCGGTGATCACCACGGGAACCAGGTAGACACTCTGATGAAGGCGGCTGTAGCTGCCTCGTCGTGTCAGGATGCCAGCAGTGTTATCTGAGTAGAAGGAAGTATCAATGCCCAACACTTTGACACACTTTAGTACACAAAAAAGGATCACTTTATTACCAAGTTGGAGAAAATGTGAGTCCAACAAGGCAGAAGTCAGTCATCCTATCTGACTGAAGAGACAAAGCACGTGGATTCATCTGTTTTACAATTTCAGGCAAAGAAACTAACAAGTAGAAAAAAGTCAATCAAGGGGTTCAGTATCTTGCCCAAGGACACTTGGACACTTGGACTAACGATGCTGGGGATTGAACTGTTGTCCCTCTGAGGAAGACCCGCTATAACCCCCCCGGCCACAGTAGACCCTCATTATAGAGGGATGTGGCCACGTTACCCTGAACAGGCTTCCTCCCCTGTATTAACTATAAAAAGGCAGATAACTACCAATGACTAGTAAGGACTAGGACTACAAAAAGTTGACAGTTTAACAAAAGTAACTATACATATAATTTACTGATTCAAAAATGACTATTTCGTGTCACGTTAGCACGAACGTTAGCACTTTAGCATGGACAGCCCACATGCAAGAGTTATCTTCGAATAAATACTGTTTCTTTGTTAAGGTATTTCACTTCGAGGTGACAATACTCCAGTAAACTCCCCACAAAACCTCAAGTTGTCGTTTTTAAACATTAACTAAGAAAATACAACATGCTAATGCTAATCAGAGGGCTTTAGAGGGATGTAAATCATTGAAGCCACTTGTCTTATGGATCAGTAATCAGCCTGTATCTGGTCAGGTGTTGCCTACCTCCATTGTCTTTGACAGAGAAGTTGCTGCGGTGGGTCTGGAGAAGGCTGAAGAAGAACTTGTGTCCCGTTGACGGCTCATCGGCATCAACAGCACTCACTGTCTGGATCCGCTGTCAGAGACACCGACACTCATTAACATGAACATCCCACGGGTGAGTAACGGAGCATTCAATAGACGAGGAATGACTGGTTCCTGTCACAGTGACAGCTCACACTGCTGTCCTCGCATATGACTAAGAAAAAAAGCAAACCCATCTCAATCATGGTTTTCATTTTTTGGGGGAAAAATAAGTTGCCTTGGACGGAATAAATTGAATACTTTAATTTTTACTGTCATTGTACTGAGCGACTTCCATTTCCAGTTGATATTTCCATCCATCCATTTTCCACCGCTTATCCGGGGTCAGGTCGCGGTGGCAACGGGCCAAGCAGGCTGACCCAGACTTCCCTCTCACCGGCAACATGTTCCAGCTCATTCTGGGGGATCCCGAGGCGTTCCCAGGCCAGCTGGGAGATGTAATCCCTCCAGCGTGTTCTGGGTCTTCCCCGGGGTCTCTTCCCAGTTGGACGTGCCTGGAAAGCCTCCAGTGGGAGGCGTCCAGGAGGCATCCTAATTAGATGCCCGAACCACCTCAGCTGACTCCTTTCGACGCGAAGGAGTAGCGGCTCGACTCCAAGCTCCCTCCTGATGACCGAGCTCCTTACCCTATCTCTAAGGCTCAGCCTGGCCACCCTACGGAGGAAGCTCATTTCGGCTGCTTGTAGCCGCGACCTTGTCCTTTCGGTCACGACCCAGAGTTTGTGACCATAGGTGAGGGTAGGAACGTAGACCGAGTGGTAAATTGAGAGCTTTGCCTTCTGGCTAAGCTCCCTCTTCACCAAGACGGTCCGGTGTAGCGCCTGCTTTACTGCTGCAGCCGCACCGATCTGTCTGTCGATCTCCCGCTCCATCTTACCCTCACTCGTGAACAAGACCCCGAGATACTTGAACTCCTTCACTTGAGGTAGGCACTCCGTCCCCACCTGGAGGGAGCAATCCACTGGTTTCCGGCAGAGCACCATGGCCTCGGATTTGGAGGTGCTAACTCTCATCCCCGGCGCTTCACACTCGGCTGCAAACCACCCCAGTGAATGCTGGAGGTCACGATCCGAGGAGGCTAACAGGACCACATCATCTGCAAACAGCAGAGAGGCGATCCCGAGACCCCCGAACCTGACGTTCTCCACCCCCAGGCTGCGCCTAGATATCCTGTCCATGAAAGTCACGAACAGGACCGGAGACAAAGGGCAGCCCTGGCGGAGGCCAACACCCACCGGGAACGTGTCTGACTTATTGCCGAGAATGCGGACACAGCTCCTACTGCAGTCGTACAGAGACCGGATCGCCCGTTGTAATGGGTCCGGCACCCCATACTCCCGCAGCACCCCCCACAAGAACCCCCGAGGGACCCGGTCGAAAGCCTTCTCCAAGTCCACAAAGCACATGTAGACTGGTTGGGCAAACTCCCAGAACCCCGCCAGTAGTCTTGCGAGGGTAAAGAGCTGGTCCACTGTTCCATGGCCGGGACCCTGGCATAAGCCTTCCCCGGGAGGCTGAGTAGTGTGATACCCTGGTAATTCGAGCACACTCTCCGGTCCCCCTTTTTGAAAATGGGAACCACCACCCCGGTCTGCCAGTCCATGGGCACTGATCCCGACCCCCATGCGACATTGAAGAGGCGTGTCAGCCAGGACAGCCCAACTATGTCCAGCGCTTTCAGCATCTCAGGGCGGATCTCATCCACCCCCGGCGCCTTGCCACCAAGGAGCTTTTTGACTACCTCAGCGGCCTCTGTCAGGGATATGGGTGAGCCTCCCCCTAGATCTTCAGGCGCTGCCTCCTCTGCAGAGGACATGTTGGTCGGGTTTAGGAGTTCCTCAAAGTGCTCTTTCCACCGCCCGACGATGTCCCCTGTCCGGGTCAGCAGTTCCCCCCCCTGCTGAGAACAGCCTGGGGTAGCCCTGCTTTCCCTTCCTGAGCCGTCGGATGGTTTGCCAGAACCTCCTTGAGGCCAACTGAAAGTCCTTCTCCATGGCCTCCCCGAACTCCTCCCATGCCCGAGTTTTAGCATTTGCGACCACCGCAGCTGCAGCCCTTCTGGCCTGCCGGTACCTGTCAGCTGCTTCGGGAGACCCCTGGGCCAACCAGGCCTTGAAGGTCTCCTTCTTCAGCTTGACGGCTTCCCTCACCTCCGGTGTCCACCACCGGGTTCTTGGGTTGCCGCCACGACAGGCACCGATGACCTTCCGGCCACAGCTCCTAGCGGCCGCGTCCACAATAGAGGCTTTGAACATGGTCCATTCGGATTACATGTCCCCAACCTCAATCGGGATGTGTGAGAAGTTCTTCCGGAGGTGGGAGTTAAAGAACTCCCGGACAGGGTCCTCCGCCAGACGTTCCCAGATCACCCTCACTACACGTTTGGGCTTGCCGGGTCTTTCCAACCGGTTCCCCTGCCATCTGATCCAACTTACCACCAGGTGGTGATCAGTTGACAGCTCTGCTCCTCTCTTCACCCGAGTGTCCAAGACATACGGCCGCAAATCAAATGATACGATTACAAAGTTGATCGTTGATCTCCGGCCTAAGGTGTTCTGGTACCAGGTACACTTATGAGCCACCTTATGTTCGAACATGGTGTTTGTTATGGCCAAACCGTGGCAAGCACAGAAGTCCAATAACGAGACGCCATTCGGGTTCAGATCGGGCAAGCCGTTCCTCCCAATCACCCCCCGCCAGGTTTCTCCGTCATTGCCCACGTGAGCGTTGAAGTCCCCCAGGAGAACTATGGAGGCGGCAGGCAGCGCCCTTTCCAGGACCCCTCCCTCCGACTCCAAGAAGGCCGGATACTCTGAACTGCTGTTTGGTGCATAAGCACAAACCGCAGTCAGAGCCTTGCTCCCCGCAACCCGTAGGCGCATGGAGGTAACCCTCTCGTTCTCCGGGGAGAACTCCAACACAACGGCGCTCAGCCGGGGGCTCGTGAGTATCCCCACTCCCGCCCGGCGCCTCTCACCCTGGGCAACTCCAGAAAAGGACAAAGTCCAACCCCTCTCCAGGAGCTTGGTTCCAGAGCCAGCACTGTATGTGGAGGTGAGTCCAACTATATCTAGCTGGTATCGCTCCACCTCCTGCACTAGCTCTGGCTCTTTCCCCGCTAGCGAGGAGACGTTCCACGTCCCTAGAGCTAGTCTATGCTGCCGGCGATCGGCTCGCCCAGGCCTCCCGCCTGACCCGCCGCCCGGTCTGCATTGCACCCGACCCTGATGCTTGTCCCTGCGGGTGGTGGGTCCACAGGGTGGCTGCTCCATGCTGTTTATTCGGGCTGAGCCCGACCAGGCCCCATGGGCGAAGGCCCGGCCACCAGACGCTCGCCGACGAGCTCCCCTCCTGGGTCTGGCTCCGGGAGGGTGCCCCGGTTTCCCTGGTCCGGGCGAGGTGGCTAAAGTCCGTGGGCTGCTTTTCATTCGGGTCGTTTTGAACCGCTCTTAGTCTGGGCTCTCCCCCGAGACCTGTTTGCCTTGGGAGACCCTACCAGGGGCTAATGCCCCGGACAACATAGCTCCCAGGATCACTGAGCCACTCAAACTCCTCCAGCACGTTAAGGTGGCGATTCGCGGAGGAGCAGTTGATAATTGTTCTACACAATTATCAACTGGAAATTGGAATTTGTTTTCCAATATTTGTATATCTGCAATGGGTACAATGACTATGTGTAATGTGAAAGACTGAAGTTTGACTCCCACAAAATAATAAATACATACACTTAGAATACATAGCATGAAGGCTGTTTTCTAAAAATGATTTTTTTCTAATACTCTGAGCCAGAAATCTCCACTTCAGCCTAAACGCACTACCCTCATTCAAATGAATGGGAGGACTGGCATTCTCTTTGCAATGCCTGATGTGGTGCGAGTGCAGCCTAACACCCTTATATGATTGTGAGTGTACTACACAAGCAACAAGGTGGTGTGTGTTCTCTAGGAAAATGATATTGCTTTTTAACTTCATAGTTTTGAAACCGGACCTCCAGTGTTTGGAGGAAGTGCCTTATGAATAGGTAAGGCACTTTAAGGCACTTTGAAAAGGGTGTGTATAGTTTTGCTATTGAATAGAGGAAATAAAATGGTGTTGAACCCCAACCCTTTTGTTTGGACAGCCAATCCCGATCCTGCTCAATCCTGATTAAGTTTTGTTGCCGTCAAAATACAATGTATGCCGTAGCCCAGTACACAGTGACTTGATCCAAAAACATCCCAGCCTCGTTCTCTGAGCTGTACAGTTGAAAAGTGATAAAGCTGTAGTACCTGACCACTGCTTGTCCTCTCACAGACAAAGGTTTCATACACAGCGGCGAAGGTGGGTGCGTTGTCGTTGATATCCAGCAGGCGGATGTAGACCAGAACATGGCTGCTCTGACGGGGATTATCTGAAACGCAAACACAGAACAAGTGAACACCCAGCTCCACTTTCACATGATTCCACACATTCACATTGTAAGCTGGGGATGTACCCGGATCTCGATACAGTATTCCTGAAATCACAAATAATCTTGCATTGAAGAGGAGGAGGCGGGGACGTCTCTGTACACCTCAACTGTGGCCTATCAGGTACAAACTTCAGTACCACTGAGCAGCTCATTGACCTGCTGAGTGGCCTTCTTGACATACATAAACATAAAAGATGCAATATGGAAACATTAAAGGGCACAGATGTTAACTACTGTGTCCAAGTAGTTAGTCTAGTCATTTCCACAGCATGTCTCAATTCAAGCGAAGGAAACCAATCAGGTTTCTTTATGTCTTGTGCTCGAGTCAAACTCTTTGTGGAATAATAAAACCTAAAACTAGAGAAATACATTATTACTTCAATAAAAACGACATTTGGAGTGATTCTGTATTCATTGGCAGATAATCGGTCTCAGCCCAGCATTGACAAAAACCACACAGCTTCTTTTGTTTCAACACAATCACAGTTACAACATTGTAATGACGGATACACCCTCCATGTTCATAGCCACAGTCTATAAAGCAGTGTGTACACTTTAAACACGTTTCTTATAAGTGCTCAAAAATGTCTTATTGTCTTCCAATTAACATGTTTATGCTGCTATTATTATGTACGCATCATGTATATTCTTTTCAACACATAATAATGTTAATAATTACCTATTAACTAAAGCATATTACAAGGACATTAATATTAGCTTTTACTGATATTTTAGCATCATAGTACATCTCAGTTTAACACATAAGTTATAACCTCACCACAGATAAACAACACCTGCTACCTGTGGTGTTTGGGTTTGTATGTAGTTTATCATTTTGCATCTGAATATATATATGTGATTGTTACCGTGGTGACTTTACTGAGCTCTGTTCTCAGTTTGTCTGTATACAGCATGCTGTATCTGTCCCTGTGGAATCAACCATGAAATATTCTATAAAGTGGTTTTCACTGCAGCCATTTTACTCACAAAATCCATATGAAAGCTAAATTCATACTTGGTGATATATGCACAGTATCAGAAGATTATTGACGCTCTGTTCTGCAATTCTTTAACACAGTCGGTAGTCTGGCCCTCTCCTCTTCTCTGAGGAGAGCAGACAGCGCTGATGAAATATTAAGGGAAATTTGATTTCAGGGTTGAGTTGGTTTATATTTGTTACAATTGAAAGTTGCTTATGGAATAAGTAAAAGGACAAATAACACTGCTGGTTTAAATGTTAATGATAAAAGGATCTATAATTGCAAAGTGACGTGTGATATGAAGTAATTTCTACAGTCTGGCTTCAACTCACAACCTCCCCCGTCTCGTTTTACAGATCACAACGTTGGCGTACGGCTCTCTGTACAACTGACTGTGACTGATGGTGTCGTGGCAGCAGGAAGTCTGTCTGAACTTACTGGACTCAGTAGCGATGACTGAGATATTATGCCAGGCAGCCTCCTCTCTGTCCAGGCCTTTGAGCAGGAACACAGATCCATTCCCTGGATGTACATTGAACAGGCGGTCCATGTCGGTACGGCGGTCGATAGAGTACCTGTAACAAGCGAGACAGAGAGAAGATGAGAAAGGCTCTATTAACCCTCTGTGCAGCCCCATCAGGGACTCACCACAATACGGAGACAAACTCATTTCTTTCAATCTGTGAGGGAGGAGAATTCATGGAGTCCAACATCATGTGGTACACTGTGGCGTTACTGATTGAGGAATGCACAATGTCAGCTCATACACTTTGCTTTACTGTGGGAACAGCTGTGTGAAGCTCTTTTGGAATATGCCGCTGGTATTTTATGTTGTAAAATGGACATCTAGCCCTCTGGTCAAACTAAATTTAAAAAATCTATGTTTTCAATCTTCTAAATTGAACTATATTAGTTAAAGAAATGTTTCTATGCGGGCCTGTGAACGTGTGAATATGAATAACAAAATCAGTCTTTCCAACCCACGTTTTCTCTAAAAGCACAATCTGGCACTGAAACAAAATTTGGAAATGTTCAGTCAGGAAGACTCTCTTTACTCTCATAATCTCTGTCTTTCTCTCTCTCTCCCTGTAATTACTCTATCAGCTGATTGTGGGCGTTCACTTTCAACTAACCAATCAGATTCTGCACAGCCAATCACAGCGCAGCTGTCATACTTTAAAAGTGTTCTCATTTCTGCTGCTATCAGTTGTCACTTCAGCTCAAATCAGATGTGACCCTCCTCCACCCCAGTCGCCTCCAGTCAGCATCACAGTCATGCTCCTCATCCATCATCTTCATCACCACCAGTGTCTGGACTCCAGGGGGGATTCTGCCTCATGTGACCTCAGCATTACTACCTCTCTACTGTCCTACTTCAGGATGGAGTCCAATAGCCAAAGACTTTGCACTGTTCAAATTGAATCCATGTGTAATAAAGTATTGTTGAATTCTAACAAAGTCTCTCCTGATTGAAATGATTGGTCCTTGTGTTTAAAATACAGTCTTGAAGTCAGGATGCGGTAATCCCACCTAGTTTAAAGCATATGCCTACCAAGCCCCGAGTAATTCAAACGTTTCACATTTGTTTAATCTGCAAATTAACAGTAAAGTAGAAAGAACAGTTTGTGGTATTAGGAAGTATTGGTGTTGTACGTTTCGCGCATATGTTGATTGTGCATGTTGCAAGTGATATAGTATATGGAGCGCCCATAATTGAAAGTGATATGGTAAAATAAAGAGTACAATGAACGGCAAAGTCCAAGAAGTTGAGGTGTGAAAACAAAAGTAAATGTTGACTTTACGCTTGTTGTACGCAACATTACATCAAAACGTCCACTACCGGCATGTATTCACGCTAACGGTTGTTACGGTAGTTACGTTATGTTGTTACAAGGAATATTAATAATGAATAATTGAACCATTAACCCACAAAGATGAATGCTGTCAGATAAACGGTTAAAATAAATATCATAAATAAAAAAAGAAAGAAGCTGAGCTAAACTCAGCGGAGCGGCTTGTCACTTAAAAGAGAATAGATGATCAATCTATAAGATCTGAACGGTAAAAAAATTAAATAAATAAATCAACCGCCAACCTTGATAATCAACCAACTGAAACCACCATGATTGTGCTGCACTTGAAGCTGCTGCATTCTGTCCTCTCATCCTATTCAATCTTACTGTAGCCTGTTCAAAACATCACAGCTCCCACTGCTCACAGAGCACTCTCTATTTTCAACTAGTAGCTGAATGCAGCTATTCACAGCTTCACAGCACTCCATAGATAATAGAAGTGAGAGGCCTTTGCTCCCGTCTTTTTCGCCTGCCAGTCAAAGGGCAGACAAACTGCTCTGTGAGCAGGAACTGCATATTACACTGGATCACGTTCAGTGTCTGGATCAAGGCTGGTGTCACTGCTGACTCCAAAGGATAGCATCCAACTGCTATTAGCTGCTAATTATGTACCATTCAATCCTAATTATTGCTTTTGATAAAGAGATAGATGAATCTGAAAGAAAACATTGCTTCAGTACATCCAGGCTCGATCATAATTAGAAAGCACTCAACCGTAAAATAATAGTGACACAATGTGAATAGATGATGCAGTCATGTGATGATACACAAAGACACAAACACAGGGACAATTGGAATTGTGTGTGTGTGTGTGTGTGCCCCCTTGTGACACATCATTTTAAAAGCACTCCTTGGTTCCAGGCTGGTTTTAATTGGAATACATTCAGACACACACTGCTTTTATCCATCCATCTATACATCATGATTATCCTAATGCTGTCTGTGTTTACACTGCACTGTTTCCAATTCACTTCATTACTAATCTATATAAAAGGCTTTGCTGTGTCCTTCCCTTTTTTTTTTTTAACTCAAAGATCCCGCCAAGATCAGGAATGTTTCAATAGATCTGCAACAGATCAAATTACCCAGGGGGGGGTACATTTTATTTTGTAAACATCAGATGATCCCCAGGATGTATTGATGCCGTTTGATCAATTAGTAACAGGAGAGTAGCTCAAACTGTCCTGAAGCCAGCCATCAATAATAGACATTTCTGCAGTGAGGCAGCAGGGTTTGAATATAGCCTGTGGGTGCAGGTTTCTGTTGTGGAGTCCACAGTTCTACACAGAGCTGTGCAGTCTTCAGATGGGGTTGGTCTATGATCTTAACAGTGAACACTGTACCAACTGTCTTCCAACCTACTTTATATTTCTCCTCTGGTTCTCCTCCTTTCAGACTCTTTAGAGAATCGAGCTCCATTTGAAGTCAAATTCATCCAACTTCAATGTAGCTTTGCTGAGATTTCTAAAACAGCAGGGCAGGAAGTGGAAATATGCAAACTTTTTTTGCAGACACAGGCTTACTGTTTTCAGTCTGACATGAGGACTGACAGTATGCCTCTACCACCTGATAGTGTGTGATGCTTCAAAATGTGGACCCCAGTTGGGAGCATTGAGGTAAAAGGTGATCAATAGAAAGTTCAGAGCATATCTATGATTGAGGACTTGCCTCTGCACAGCTCACAACATGGCGATGGCTGAGCCGGCGGCTAGAAGCTAATGAAGCTAACAGTCTCAACCTGGGGGGGAACTGGAGGTTGGGTGCCAAACTTCCGCCATGACGGATATTTTTATTTTCCCGAACGTTAATTTAAAATGAAGAAAAAGGGTTTTGAAAAATATCAGCAATGCTCCTTTTCTGTCAAGCAGGATAGACAAAGCACACAAGCTGCTAAATGTAGCTCAATGGCCTGGACAAATCACATTTTGTTATCAGCAGTATTTACGGACCATCTAGCATCATCGGGATTACAAAGTGGATCTGCAAAAGACCAGACTGTTCCGTCCCCACTGAGAGACGGATTCACCTTATTTGTCTAAATAGAAAATGAGCTGACCAGTCAGATGGAACCATCTTTGTATTTAGTTATGATGTCCCCTTAAAAGATTTCAAGGGGTTCTGTTATTGATTGATTTTCTTGCCTTAGCTAACAAACTTTCTGTAAGATTATTTCTATTTAAAAAGGCCTTACTTGACCATGCTGCGAGCTCCATCGGGGTCCATGGCACTGACTGAGCCCACGGCCACGCCCACTGCAGCATCTTCCTTCACCTCCATCACATAGCTGGCTTTGTCGAACAGCGGCGGCTCGTCCACGTCGTCCACTCCAATCCGGACCGTGGCCATGTCTTTGGAGCCCGCAGACATAAAACGAGGGTCCACCTGTGTGTTCCGGACCTGGATTTCTACCGTGTATGACGGCTTTCTCTCAAAATCCAAAGGCTGCAGAGGCAAATAGAAACAGAGAGAAAAACAAAAAGGAAAAGTTTATTTTTAGTATAGATCGAAAATATGTACCTGTCGAGAATATTTATGTGTACGAATAAGTCATATAGATAAATGATTTAGCAGTTTAGTATATTAAGAGTCAGAGGTCATTCACATTCATTTGCTGTTTATGTCCAATATTCACTCTCTTTTAGGTCTCCCCCCCCCAACTCCTGAGAAGAATCTTTAAGCAGCTAAATGTCCACCAGCGAGTTGCGAAACTTCTTTGGTGCCGAGCAGGTATTGTGCAGTGGGTCAGAGCTATTTCACTAAACACTGCGGCCTGCAAACTAATTTCCTGCTGCTGGAAATGAGGTTGATCGGAGCTTGTGACAATGATCTCTGATCAAGCGTTTTAGTGTCTTTCAAAGCTCTTCTTTGTGATACAAATACAAATGTTAATACCTTTTGCGCTCGATGTTTTGGACCTGGTTGATGGGATTTACATTAAGGAATTAGACTAGCCTGGAATCCAGACTGAATGGACGTTTCTCATATAGACAGGATATGTGATCCGGCAAAGACTGGGACGACCAGTATGAACCATAGAGTGTTTATACTGTACATAGTCAAGGCTTGATGCTATGTCCCGATACCATAGCATCAAATGCAGCATGAAAGTAATCCGTTTCATTTTGAAAAGTCAGCTTTTTAAAAACCAACATGGCTCAGTTCAAAATTTTGTTTCAAAACAAAACTCCTGCGCTCTTCTCTGATCAGATGATTTGCTACCACTACACCTCATAGTAATGTTTCATTTTCAAAAAGAGAGAGACTGGAGTCTCACCAATCGGTAGTCGATACTAATACCAGACTTGGAACCGAAGCATTGCTTTTCGTGACATCCCTACTTGACACCATGTAGATCAACATATATACAGTATATAGTTGGAACGACTTTAATATATCTTTTAATTTGATCGCTGAGGAGTTGAGCATTGAAGGCAGGATTTATAGAATGTAAGAACACATCTCTTCCATTGTGTCGGGGCTCTCTGAATGATTAAAGAATGAAAAGAAGAGCACTTGCTGTTACAGAGGGGAATCTAACATCAATACAAATGTGATAGAAAGCAGCCTATTGATTCAATCTGATGGAGAATGATAATGGTTTTTCAAAAGTGAAAATAATATTGATGAAATGTGTTTCTTGACGTCAGCTGTGACAATGCTGCGTTGGTTAAAACAGAATAAAGCTTCAGATGTACTTGAACAGGTCTACATGAGCTGCCTGGATCTCTCGTATCCCGCTGACAGCATATCATTACTTCTTTGTTGAAGCTTGCAGACTTTCTGAAGGTTGTGTCAGCAAGAGGAACAAAAGCATTTCTAATTATCAATTTTGATTTCACATCAGTAAACAGACACTGAGATGAAAAGCTCCAGTCCTGTCTGTTGGTGTCTGCTGCAAAGGCTAGGACTGGGGGTTGTAAAGTTAAAAGAGGAATAAGTTTAAATTGGTTTCTTTCATCTGTCAAGCATGCCCGGGCTTTGCATATTTAACAGTATGTGAAAAACAGACTACGTGGGCAGTATCCTTATGAGGGGAAAGTGTAGGATCTGCTGAATCACAGCTTTAGAATTCATTTGATTTAAACAATGCCATGAGAAAAATATCAAGATAATTACAAAAAACAGCCTCATTTCAACGTAGCATTAGGAAAGCAGATTTCACATCAATGCAGAGAATTTACTCTGCTGCTATTCATTTTACGGTCTTATATTATTGCTTGTATAATGCATCTTTTAACCTGTTTCCTCCTAATTGTTCCTGTTTCCTCTGACATTAGTGTTCACAAACAGTTTATAAATGTGATTAGTCCTCTAGATCACCTTCCCCACAGTGATGACTCCCTCCTGTGTGTCTTTGTCAGTGGAGATGTCGAATACGTCCATGCCGTCTCCACTAACGATGGTGAAAGACATCTCGGCGTTCTTCCCGATGTCTCTGTCAGTGGCTAGAATTCTCCCGACTGGAGTGCCGGACATGGACGACTCAGGTACTCTGAACTGGTGAATACCTGAAAACACAGGAAATACTGTCATCTGCATGAAATAAGACTGGCGCTGCTTTTATGTAACCCCGCCCCCTCAATTTGGTCAGGTTACCATCCGGACCAGGCCACCTCCCAGAATGCATTACTTTAATGGCCTGTTTATACTCTTTCTAAGATAAGGCCACATTCAGAATGAAGGCCGTCGGTGCAGTGGGGGTGCCCACCATAGACGGTACATGAAGATGACAGTACAGCTCCTCAAACACATCACGATCACACCCTGGTGGCTAGCTCCATTTTAGCATGGTTCATACTGTCACTGACCATGTCGCTAGCTAGCTGAGCAACATTTCCACTGAGAGACAGCGCTGTCGAACCATCGTGAGTTCATATGAGATGACAAGAATCACGAGTCTGTTTAATACAATACAATCATCAATTTGATTATGAATGTGTTTATAGAGATATTATGATTAGTTGTGTCTTTCGAGCCAAACAGCTCGAAATACACAACAACAACTAGCACCAGCTGGTGCTAGCACAGCAGCTTGGTGACTTGGGTCGGGGACAGGTATGGGCGGGACCTCGATACTGCAGCTCCACCCCCTGATCACCAATGCGCAGATTTGGGCTCCAAATTACATCAAAAGCGCAAGATAACAGCACCTGTATCCAGAGTATTTTCAAACCTTGCACCAGACATGATTTCTGTGAGTGGATCCAATGTGAATAATAATGCTCTGCCTTTTCTCCACTGCTGTGACTTGTGCCCCTTAGGGCGGACTACCACCCAAAACGCTAACACTGTTTTTCCATCAGTGTTTTCTATCATGTTTGAGATGGCCGTTTCCTCCTAATAGTGAAACACACACCAGCCTTGTTCTAAATGAAAATAGCAGCTTGTGTGAGTCACTGAATGGAGTCAAACACGTTTACATGAATGCAAATGAGTTACTACTCTGCTGTATGAACCTGAGGCGCTTCCATATCAGGACGCTTTCCTTTGCTCAGGATGTGTGTGCGTGCATACGTTCCATCTCGGAGATTTAGTGGTGTGTATAAACTCCTTGGGTGAGTATTTACATGCTGCTGTGATACAGCAGGCCTCATACAGCCTGGCAGCTAAGCAGGACTCAACCTGCCACTGTTCACAGGGAGTGAGATCATGTGAATACCCAGTTAACACTTTATCACAGTCAAACAGCTGCAGCTTCCATCATCCGCTATGTTATTTAACAGAGAATAATTACACTAACTTCATGACACATTGGTGTGCACATACGTTTCTTTATATTAGCCTAGTTCTCCAGCTATCTGTCCACTGTGAGAAACAGACAAACTGGAACATTGAACTCATGAAAACTGTTTCAAATGAATAATTAAAAACTAAATAAATGAAATAGATAATAAATAAACTAACACATAAATAAGAACAAGGGATAACGTATTATAATATCTAAAGTCATGCTCTAGTGTACGAGGTTGTTAGTCCCATCTGAATGGTATGCTTTTCTGGGGTAAGTATGTCAAAGTTTAGACGCTTGATAAGTGTAACAGGCAAACAACCACAACCATAGTTGATGCTTTGGTTTGACTGGCCTGACGTTATGGGATCCAGTGGCCAGTAGATACATATGTACATATACGTATGTAAGAGGCGAGGAAAAGACCAAAGACTGTATATAACTCTAATATTATCTAAAATAGTATTGTCTCTTAGGGTGACAGAGAGACTGTTCCTCACAGATGTGTTGATAAAATGACTGACCCAGCAAACATACAGTATATGCCCACACTGAAACATGTGACCACAAAAAGCAATTTGACTTTACTATTTCAATCCTTTTGGTCGTATTTCTAAGTACCTATCTCAACAAGTGGGAGTCTAGTGAAACCCTAAAGAGCCCAGAGGTAAAGAGAGGAGGAGCATATTTCATCTCCACTCAGTTTTCTCTCTGGTTGGTTGGAGATTGTATTGCCTCTTGGCTCCAACGCTGACACCACTGATTGGACTCCTGCTGTGAAGTGAAATGAATTGACATGTGGGAACCATGTGTGACTCTCTGTTCTACTTTCCTTTATTAAAAAAATATTTTAGGGCTTTTTTAGCTGGCGAATGACAAGAAAAGGAGAAGAGAGAGAGAGAGAGGGGATGACGGGTCAGAACCAAACCCGGGCTGCTGCCAAGGACTCCACCTACATTTGGCGCAAGCTTTAACGGGTTAGCTCTATGGCACCCTATGTTATACTTTTATGAGCAGCAATATCTAAGGACAGGGTTTAGGGTTATGGGACAGGAAGCATACCGTTTATTATCGATAAGATGTCCTTATATATATGTAGAAATAAGTGTGTGTGTGTGTGTGTTAAGATGACTTAAACAAGACTGTTAATGCCACTTGCAATCTGTTCAGCAGATCCGAGGGTGATCTTGTTTTGCACCCTGAACTGGAGACGGAAACAGTGGGTGAATGGGTGCTGATGCTGGGTGTAGAGGAGGAGGGAGAAACTGACACTCTGATACAGAGACTGTGATTGAAAGAGGCAGAGATGGAGAGGGAGAGGGGAGAACAATCAGACGATGAAGAGATGGATACAGAAAGCCAGAGAGCTGGAGGATTGGATGACGGGATGACTGATGTGATCGAGGCCAACAGAGAAGTCATTTACTCACTTCAGTCACACTGCTACAGGCACTGAAACACTGCTGATCGACACACACACACACACAAATGCTATTATGTGCTAATACAGCCTCTTTATGAAAAGATGCTGCTACGTTCAAACTTCGATGATTATAATGCCTCTACATAATATTATATAGCCTGTCTCTACCTAACACACTACAGCTGGGGTCTTAAGAGAGTTTCTGCTTCTTGGTACAAAGCCCACCTTTACACTGACAATGTTCCTGTCCAGGATTCATTTAATTTAATTATTACATCCATCATTTTTGTTAGTTTTTAATAATAATAATTGAATGAGCTGAATGCCAATGCTTCAAACGTTTTGGTAAAACCTCACAAATTTCCCAAGTTGTCCTGTTTCATGTTTGGTGGACCAGAAATTTGAAGCGATTCACTCATTTGAACGGTCTATTGACGCTGGGACGCCTCTCTGCAAAAAGATTGATATTGATGAACTGGAAAGTGCACAAACCATCCTGCTTTGTGATAACGTGCACTGTACTGTGATGTACAGAGCGTGAAAGCATTGATTTGTCCAACGTTGGCAACACCGCCTACCTGCACACCACACGTGTGCTGTCCACACAGACAGCATTGCTGCTGCAGTGTGAGGCGTGTGTCCTGCAGTGTTGTTAGGTGTGTGCATCTGCATAGCATATGTTCTCCCTTTTAACATGTCTTTTAAAATTGTAATCCTTCAAGTAATTCCTATTTTTACCAAATGTATCGGTAACTTTATTACTCTCCAAGTTCCCTGTTCTGTTTCTTCCCAAGTCTGTAAGTGAATTACACATGTGTGTCTGCACATTGTGTGGCCCATGGAACTGTAAAATCAAATTCTTTTTACCATTAAATGTTTAAAAGATATGACATTTTTCCAAAGATGGCTTGTCGTGTGTTGAAGGTACTTTTTGTGACTTTGCCTCGTGCCAACAGCAAAACTTTACAGAAACTTTACCAGGTACAAACATTTGATTCTGGTGAGTAAAATGTTAAATAAATACAATGTTCATATTTAAAGGAACAGTGCGTAACGTTTCGTGGCATCTAGTGGTGAGTTGCAGATTGCAACCAACTAAACACGCCTCCTCTCCCGCTCCCTTTCTAAGTGCGTATAGAACTATGGGGGCCTCCAGGTAGAGAGAGGTACATTAAAGATGTTTTACTGTTAGAAATTACACTTATCAATACTAAATATATTTAAAAAAAAAACATTTGTAGCATTTTAAAAACAAATACATTCAGAACAGGATTAGAATGTATTAATATAAATATTGTTTCTAAAACAGCAACAGTAAAGTTTATAAAATAAAAATCACTTCATAAAGTCATTAATATCTCACTGGAAACAAAACTCAAACTTCAATAAAATAAACAACATTCCTGAGGGAAGTTTATAAAGAATGAAGAACACAGTCGGTATCAATCCTTCCTCCTGTCCTCTGTCCTC